CTCAGCGTGAGGAACCTTGTCCTCCGCGTGTTGAATCTTGTCCTCAGCGTGAGGAACCTTGTTCTCAGCGTAAGGAACCTTGTCCTCAGCCTGAGGTATCTTGTCCTCAGCGTGAGGTATCTTGTCCTCAGCGTGAGCGTGAGGAACCTTGTCCTCAGCATGAGGAACCTTGTCCTCAGCGTGAGAAACCTTGTCCTCAGCGCGGGGAAGCTAGTCCTCAGGGTGAGGAACCTTGTCCTCAGCGTTAGGAACCTTGTCCTCAGCGTTGGGAACCTGGTCGTCAGCGGGAGGAACATTATACTCAGCGTGAGGAACCTCGTCCTCAGCGTGTTGAACCTTGTCCTCAGCGTGAGGAACCCTGTTCTCAGCGTGATGAACCCTGTCCTCAGCGTGATGAACCTTGTCCTCAGCGTGACGTACCTTGTCCTCAGCGTGAGTTACCTTGTTCTCAGCGTGAAGAACCTTGTCCTCAGCGTGAGGAACCTTGTCCTCAGCGTGAGGAACCTTGTCCTCAGCGTCAGGTACCTTCTCCTCAGCGTGAGCGTGAGGAACCTTGTCCTCAGCGTGAGGAGCCTTGTCCTCATTGTGAGGAACCTTGTCCTTAGCGTGAGAAACCTTGTCTTCGGCGTGAGGAACCTTGTCCTCAGCGTGAGGAACCTTGCCTCAGCGTGAAGAATCTTGTCGTCAGCGTGAGGAACCTGATGCTCAGCGTGAGGAACCTTGTCCTCAGCGTGAAGAACCTTGTCCTCAGCGTGAGTAACCTTGTCCTCAGCGCGAAGAACCTTGTCCTCAGAGTGAGGAACCTTGTCCTTAGCGTGAGGTGCCCCGTCCTTAGCGTGAGGAACCTTGTCCTCAGCGTGAGAAACCTTGCCCTCAGCGTGAGGAACCTTGTCCCTTGTGTGAGGAACCTTGTCCTCAGCGTGAGGAACCTTGTCCTCAGCGTGAGGAACCTTGTCCTCAGCATGAGGAACCTTGTCCTCAGCGAGAGAAACCTTGTCCTCAGCGTGAGGAACCTTGTCGTCTGGGTGAGGAAGCTTGTCCTCAGCGTGAAGAACCTTGTCCTCTGCGTGAGGAACCTTGTCCTCAGCGTGAGGAACCTTCTCCTCAGCGTGAGGAACCTTGTCCTCAGCGTTAAGAATTTTGTCGTCAGCGTGAGGAACCTTATGCTCGGCGTGAGGAACATTGTCCTCAGCGTGTTGAACATTGTCCTCAGCGTGAGGAACCTTGTCCACAGCGTGAGGAACCTTGTCCTCAACGTGAGGAACCTTGTCCTCAACGTGAGGTACCTTGTCCTCAGCGTGAGCGTGAGGAACCTTATCCACGGGGTGAGGAACCTTGTCCTCAGCGTGAGAAACCTTGCCCTCAGCGTGAGGAACCTTGTCCCTTGTGTGAGGAACCTTGTCCTCAGCGTGAGGAACCTTGTCCTCAGCGTGAGGAACCTTGTCCTCAGCGTGAGGAACCTTGTCCTCAGCGTGAAGAACCTTGTCGTCAGCGTGAGGAACCTTGTCCTCAGCGTGAGGAACCTTGTCCTCAGCGTTAGGAACCTTGTCCTCAGCGTGAGGTACCTTGTCCTCAGCGTGAGCGTGAGGAACATTGTCCTCAGCGTGTTGAACCTTGTCCTCAGCGTGAGGAACCTTGTCCACAGCGTGAGGAACCTTGTCCTCAGCGTGAGGAACCTTGTCCTCAGCGTGAGGTACCTTGTCCTCAGCGAGAGAAACATTGTCCTCAGCGTGAGGAACCCTGTCGTCTGGGTGAGGAAGCTTGTCCTCAGCGTGAAGAACCTTGTCCACAGCTTGAGGAACCTTGTCCTCAGCGTGAGGAACCTTGTCCTCAGCGTGAGGTACCTTATCCTCAGCGTGAGCGTGAGGAACCTTCTCCTCGGCGTGAGGAACCTTGTCCTCAGCGTGAGAAACCTTGCCCTCAGCGTGAGGAACCTTGTCCCTTGTGTGAGGAACCTTGTCCTCAGAGTGAAGAACCTTGTCCTCAGCGTGAGGAACTTTGTCCTCAGCATGAGGAACCTTGTCCTCAGCGAGAGAAACATTGTCCTCAGCGTGAGGAACCTTGTCGTCTGGGTGAGGAAGCTTGTCCTCAGCGTGAAGAACCTTGTCCTCTGCGTGAAGAACCTTGTCCTCAGCGTGAGGAAGCTTCTCCTCAACGTGAGGAACCTTGTCCTCAGCGCTAGGAACTTTGTCGTCAGGGTGAGGAACCTTATGCTCGGCGTGAGGAACATTGTCCTCAGCGTGTTGAACCTTGTCCTCAGCGTGAGGAACCTTGTTCTCAGCGTGAGGAACCTTGTCCTCAGCGTGAGCGTGAGGAACATTGTCCTCAGCATGAAGGAACCTTGTGCTTAGCGTGAGAAACCTTGTTCTCAGCGTGAGGAAACTTGTCCTCAGGGTGAGGAAGCTTGTCCTCAGGGTGAGGAAGCTTCTCCTCAGCGAGAAGAACCTTGTCCTCAGCGTTAGCAACCTTGTCGTCAGCGTGAGGAACCTTATGCTCGCCGTGAGGAACCTTGTCCTCAGCGTGTTGAACCTTGTCCTCAGCGTTAGGAACCTTGTCGTCAGCGTGAGGAACCTTATGCTCGGCGTCAGGAACCTTGTCCTCAGCTTGTTGAACCTTGTCCTCAGCGTAAGGAACCTTGTCCACAGCGTGAGGAACCTTGTCCACAGCGTGAGGAACCTTGTCCTCAGCGTGAGGAACCTTGTCCTCAGCGTGAGGTACCTTGTCCTCAGCGTGAGCGTGAGGAACCTTGTCCTCGGCGTGAGGAACCTTGTCCTCAGCGTGAGAAACCTTGCCCTCAGCGTGAGGAACCTTGTCCCTTGTGTGAGGAACCTTGTCCTCAGCGTGAGGAACCTTTCCTCAACGTGAGGAACTTTGTCCTCAGCATGAGGAACCTTGTCCTCAGCGAGAGAAACATTGTCCTCAGCGTGAGGAACCTTGTCGTCTGGGTGAGGAAGCTTGTCCTCAGCGTGAAGAACCTTGTCCTCTGCGTGAGGAACCTTGTCCTCAGCGTGAGGAAGCTTCTCCTCAGCGTGAGGAACCTTGTCCTCAGCGTTAGGAACTTTGTCGTCAGCGTGATGAACCTTGTCCTCAGCGTGAGGAACCTTGTTCTCAGCGTTAGGAACCTTGTCGTCTGCGTGATGAACCTTATGCTCAGCGTGAGGAACCTTGTCCTCCGCGTGTTGAACCTTGTCCTCAGCGTGAGGAACCTTGTTCTCAGCTTGAGGAACCTTGTCCTCAGCGTGAGGTACCTTGTCCTCAGCGTGAGCGTGAGGAACCTTGTCCTCAGCATGAGGAACCTTGTCCTCAGCGTGAGAAACCTTGTCCTCAGCGCGTGGAAGCTAGTCCTCAGGGTGAGGAAGCTTGTCCTCAGCGTGAAGAACCTTGTCCTCTGCGTGAGGAACCTTGCCCTCGGCTAGAGGAACCTTGTCCTCAGCGTTAGAAACCTTGTCCTCAGCGTTAGGAACCTTGTCGTCAGCGTGAGGAACATTATGCTCAGCGTGAGGAACCTCGTCCTCAGCGTGTTGAACCTTGTCCTCAGCGTTAGGAACTTTGTCGTCAGCGTGAGGAACCTTATGCTCGGCGTGAGGAACATTGTCCTCAGCGTGTTGAACCTTGTCCTCAGCGTGAGGAACCTTGTTCTCAGCGTGAAGAACCTTGTTCTCAGCGTTAGGAACCTTGTCGTCTGCGTGATGAACCTTATGCTCAGCGTGAGGAACCTTGTCCTCAGCGTGAAGAATCTTGTCCTCAGCGTGAGGTACCTTGTCCTCAGCGTGAAGAACCTTGTCCTCAGCGTGAGGAACCTTGTCCTCAGCGTGAGGAACCTTGTCCTCAGCGTCAGGTGCCTTGTCCTCAGCGTGAGCGTGAGGAACCTTGTCCTCAGTGTGAGGAACCTTGTCCTCATTGTAAGGAACCTTGTCCTTAGCGTGAGAAACCTTGTCCTCGGCGTGAGGAACCTTGTCCTCAGCGTGAGGAACCTTGCCTCAGCGTGAAGAATCTTGTCGTCAGCGTGAGGAACCTTATGCTCAGCGTGAGGAACCTTGTCCTCAGCGTGAAGATCCTTGTCCTCAGAGTGAGGAACCTTGTCCTTAGCGTGAGGTGCCCTGCCCTTAGCGTGAGGAACCTTGACCTCAGCGTGAGGAACCTTGTTCTCAGCATGAGGAACCTTGTCGTCAGCGTGAGATTCCTTGTCCTCGGCGTGAGCGTGAGGAACCTTGTCCTCGGCGTGAGGAACCTTGTCCTCAGCGTGAGAAACCTTGTCTTCAGCGTAAGGAACCTTGTCCTCTGCGTGAGGAACCTTGTCCTCAGCGTGAGGAACCTTGTCCTCAGGGTGAGAAACCTTGTCCTCGGCGTGAGGAACCTTGTCCTCACCGTGAGGAACCTTGTCCTCACCGTGAGGAACCTTATCCTCACCGTGAGGAACCTTGTCCTCAGCGTGAGGAACCTTGTCCTCAGCGGGAGGACCTTGTCCTCAGCGTGATGAACCTTGTCCTGCGCGTGAGAAACCTTGTCCTCAGCGTGACGAACCTTGTCCTCAGCGTGAGGAACCTTGTCCTCAGCGTGAAGAACCTTGTCGTCAGCGTGAGGAACCTTGTCCTCAGCGTGAGGAACCTTGTCCTCAGCTTGAAGAACCTTGTCGTCAGCGTGAGGAGCCTTGTCCTTAGCGTGAGGTGCCCTGTCCTTAGCGTGAGGAACCTTGACGTCAGCGTGAGGAACCTTGTTCTCAGCATGAGGAACCTTGTCCTCAGCGTGAGGAACCTTGTCCTCACCATGAGGAACCTCGTCCTCAGCGTGAGGGACATTGTCCACAGTGTGAGGTACCTTGTTCTCAGTGTGACTTACCTTGTCCTCAGCTTGAGGAACCTTGTCCTCAGTGTGAGGTACCTTGTCCTCAGTGTGAGGAACCTTGTCCTCGCCGCGAGGAACCTTGTCCTCGGCGTGAGGAACCTTGTTCGCGGCGTGAGGAACCTTGTCCTCAGTGTGAAGACCTTGTCCTCAGCGTGAGGAACCTTGTCCTCAGCGTGAGGAACCTTGTCCTCAGTGAGAGGAACCTTGTCCTCAGCGTGAGGAACCTTGTCCTCAGCGTGAGGAACCTTGTCCTCAGCGTGATGAACCTTGTCCTCAGGGTGAGGAACCTTGTCCTCAGCGTGAGGAACCTTGTCCTCAGCGTGAGGAACCTTGTCCTCAGCGTGAGGAACCTTGTCGTTAGCGTGAGGAACCTTATGCTCAGCGTGAGGAACCTTGTCCTCAGCGTGAATAACCTTGTAATCAGCGTGAGGAACCTTGTCCTCAGCGTGAGGAACCATGTCCTCAGCGTGAGGAACTTTGTTCTCAGCGTGAGGAACGTTGTCCTCAGCGTGAGTGTTATATATACATGTTAGTCTCATAGATATCTTATATACACTAGATAGTGCATCTAATTATTCTGCAATTCAAAAATTGAAGCCGTGATTGCAGTCTCAGTTCGTTCCGATGAAATGAGAAGATTCGTATGTTTTCTATTTCTTCAACAGGGAACTTAAACATTAAGTTAACCCTATTCCAAGTACATTTTTAAACTATTCGAATGATGAAAGTTATTGTTGTTTTTAAGCGTTTATTAGCAAGTTGGAACGACCAACATGGCCGCCATCTATTCAAATGGGAGTAACCGCTGGAATATTCTTGGCTTCAATTTTACTAAAAGAGATGAGCTATCTAGTTTATGTAAGATATCTATGGTTAGTCTTGAAGCATAAGAACTTTTAAGGTCATCTTTTTAACATTTTGTTCATTGTCATGCAGCACTCGGTACTGTCATTCCAGCTTGCTCTGTTAGAATCTCATCACTTGTAACGTGAATACATCTCGATCTGTCGTCCGGGACATCTATTCCCTGAGGTAGCGCGGAGCATTTGACTGAATCAGCACAGCGATGTCAAGGTACTTGAAGATTTTAATTAGATCATTACTAGTGGCTATAGGTTTGGTTTCGCTTTTATCTGGTTTATGGACATAAGAAACCAAAAAGTGCAATATTCAACTCGAATGGGCATCGTACCATCGAGAGCAAAATACCGGCAAGTCATGTGGACAAAGAGGGAATTCTAAGGAAACGTAACATAATGCTATTTGTCGGCATATTTTCGGCTCCAATACGCAGTGACCGTAGAAATGCCATTCGCGAAACGTGGATGAAAGGATGTGAAGGGAATGCAAACGTGGCCTGTTTGTTTTTTACTGACGCACAAGATGTAAGGGGCATGCCTTTGCGTGGCGAAATAAAAACCAATTTGGACAATGAAAGCAGATATCATAAAGATCTTATTTTTGCTGGGTATTCGAGCGTTACGATTTTCAATATGTATTGCGTCTCGATGATGACTATTTTGTTTGCTTTGACAAGTTAATTGATGAATTACATCACAGACCGAGGAAACTGTTTACCTGGGGTTGGTTACATTGCCGTAAAAAGGTATACATATATAAATGTATACATATATTCAAGTCAGAATTACTCAACCGTGCATTAATTATATACAAAGCGCTCAGAACGCTACAGAATTACATTACTTACATTACATATATATATATATATATATGCTGGTAGAGAGCCTAAAGGTTTGATATTTTCATGCTCACTCCATTAAAAGGTAGCCATCTATTTTAATTTTAGGGAATGTACGTCTTGATGAAGCGTTTATTATCATCACCAGAGATCTTATTCAATAATTTGTTGATCGGAAAAACAGCACATTATTATGCCATGCCCATGGTGGTCTAAGCATTGGAATATGGCTGAATGCTATCCCTAGATTTATAACATTTGCAGATATGGGAAGAGTAGGTAGTCTGGGACCAGACGAAAAGATCACGAGACGTACTGGAGACGAAATATGCCAAACGAAGCTTGCTATACAGAACGCTTATCCAGAAGAGATGAGATTATTCTGGAATATTTCCCAACATGAAAACAAGAATGTTAAACCCGAAATACCTCCCGTTACCTTTAATTGTGAGTTGCCACATGGCATTGACGTGAAGAGTATTCGACCGCCTCGTGAACCAAAACTATGCAAAGATAATCCAGCATGGGATTTCGGAGAATATTGGAAAGGAAGCAGAAAAAAAAAACAAAGAACTAAATGAAATGTGATCCTATGCAATTCGGCAACGTAAAGAGATTTCTCGATTTCAGTGATAGATAACTCCCATCCTGATTTAACATGCAACGACATTTATGACATCTCTTTTTCAAATTAACTTTTCTCCTTGCCTGTTTGTCACTAACCGCAAACATTTAACATTGGGACCGAGGGAAACAGTATGTTTTATGAACCTGAGAATGTCAAATATACTGTTTCGCGAACGTCCCGGTCAATAGTTACCGCCATTAAAAAACTCGGGCTGATCACTTCATGCATGATCAATCACATTACAGTGTTACAACTGTTTTTGTTTAAGACTGGATTAAAAAGAAAGGAAAAATTTAACTTCCTAATAAGAACTTAAGCATTCTATTCCTGAAGTATGAAGTAACTCAAAGTCATTTGGCAAGGAGTTCCAGATTTTAAGACCTTGGAAAAGAATACTTTTGTAATCTGCTTAGTACACTGTACATTTCAAAGAAATTGATCGGAATCAACTCCAAAAGATTTATTCTGTCAGCGTTTACATGCATGCATGGGATCGGTATGAACTTGAATTTCTAGTATTGTAGCTGTGTGTTTTGTAACAATTGGTAGTATTGCGGCACAGATTAGAAATGCACCAGATGTTTGGTAAAATGACAGCTCGCGCATGCATGTCTGCATGGCCATAAACCTGTGACCTGACTTGCTTGTCGCAGAGAAATCAATGAAATGTTTTGTGTTCCTTTTTGAACAGTATCTATCAAATAATATTGGAAAGGGAGTATACCTTTAATTGAATACCTTTAATTGAAATAAAAGCAGTACTTTATTTGATCGCTCAGAATGTCTGTGCAGAATAAAATTAATCGGTCACTTAGTGTTTTTGTTTGGCGTTTAACCGATTGCCCTGGGCTTCGCTAAGCACAAAGGGACCGGTCATTATTTATGGTGGGGGTGGCACCGAAGAGAAAAAGGTTGGGTAAACAAAATTTTGAGTAAGTAAAAGGTTGGGTAAATGAAAAACAAAACAACTCAAGGGTTGCGTAATAAGAATTTATTGTCATTTCAAAAACATGACTCATTGTCAAAATATTGACTGTAAAGCAATGTCAACAGTCACTTGTCCATACAATATGTGAATCAATCAGAGTCACTATCTTGATCAGTTTGACAAAACAAATGGTGTTTCCAAAGAAAGTACATGTGCAGACAACATGAAAGTTTATACTGCAGAAAATTTCACAAGCCGTTATCTAACTCATGTCACAGAAGTGGTAAAGGACATGTGTGACAACTGAATGGTATCTTTTTGTAACGTTGTTGGCCAGGGGTGGGTAATTATTTTTTAATTGATATTTGGGGTTGAGTAATCAAATTTTTGTCTTTTTAATAGTTGGGTCAGCAAAATTTTTGCCACGAAAAATATCTCTTCGGTGCCACGCCCCACCATAAATAATGACCGGTCTCTTAAATGAGCAAATGATGAAAAACAGATAGTTATCTGCACAGTGAAAAAATCATGTTAATCTTTTCATAACATCTACTCCCCTCCACTGGCATCTTTATGCGTTTAGCGTGCCAATGGGTAGTTCGGAAATTTTTTTTCCAATCCACCCTATTCCCTAGAGACACCTGCGGCGGAGGCAACATCCAGTGAACTCCATATATATCTGAGGCGAGAACTTGAGTCCAAATAGTGAAGCGAGCTTCGTGTTAACGGCGCAGATAAAAGCAATAGATAGGGACTGGAACTGACGTCCAATAGCTCCTTCAATTTCCGCCATCTTGGGAAGGAGTGTGCCAAAAATTCGTATTTTTACATCGATTTGAAGAATAACACAATGGTTTTATGAACTGATAACTTGGTTAGCGATACAGTTCGTTAGAAAAAAACGGATTTAGCTGGGAAAAATGGTGTAAAAACTGTTTACGACCTTTAGAGCTATTGGACGTCAATAGCGGCCATCTTCGCTTCACTTTTCTCATAAGCCGAATGACTAACGTTCTTGGTCCAGATATATATATATATATATATATATATATATATATATATATATATATATATATATATATATATACATATAATATATATATACATATAATATATATATACATGTAATAGCTATAATAGTCCTTCCTTTGGTGACTGATTGGCATGTTTAGTTTACTTTCGTTGCTCTTGACAGTGTCAACATTTCTCACGTTGCCATGCACCCTCTACTAAACTTCACAGGGTAGCTGATGGTGATAATGTCTCAACACGTTCATTGTTTTGTACAGAACGCAGGGCCGCCGAGAGAATTCGCGAGGTCCGGGGCAAATCTTCTCTGGGGGATCCATGACATCATTATTTTCAAGCCAATTATTAGCCCAAGTCAGTCACCCAACTAGACCTTAGCTAGACTGCATGTGAAGTTACTGTAAGAGGCCCTCAATTTCATAAATGCTCTGATCAATTTAAAGAACCTTCTCAATTTTAGGCTCTCGATCTCAAGTTGGGGCCCTATTAAGGTGGGGCCCCGGGGCAATTTGCACCCCCCCCCCCTGCCCCACCTTTCGGCGGCCCTGACAGTAAGGAACATGTTGTTCAACAACCTATTTCGTATTTTTGGAAGAACGTTCACGACGATCAAGTTCTCTCTACACGTTTTTGAAGTTTATGCAGAGGATACGGCCAAAGATGAGGCAATCATTTATAAAACCTTGTTGATCGTGTCCACAACTTTGTTCACTGGTATCTGTAAATACACATGGAAAGAAACTATCGATTCTGATTACAAGATATCGTAAGTCAGGCCAGAGAAGTTTGTCAATTTCATGTGATTGTACATCCTAGTCACAAAATGGGCTTTTAAAGGGCCCATGACGCAAAACGTTTTATTGTCTCATTGGAGAAACATTTAAAAAGAGTAACCGTTTTCCAGATTTAGTTTATATTCCTTTGATTCGATTTTGACTTACTCTTGGGTTTCAGTCAGGTGATAGTTTAGCATAATTTGACTCAGGTGGGGGGACAATCATTGAACTGAGGTCAACTCAATCTCGTTCTCCGAGCATGCCCGTTCGCAGGTTAAGGGTGGGCATACTCTTAACCTGCGAACGGGCATGCTCGTTGAACGAGATTTAGGCCAACTGAAACGACAAAGAAACGTCAATGCATCTTATGTAAATGCATGTCAATGCATCTTATATAAACGAGTTCTCCAACTATTATAAAAGCCGACATTGAAACAATATAAAATATATGAAAACCGTCCTTTGCCCTTGACACAGGCAATTGAACCCCACGTGAAGTCATGTGAAACGCAAGAATTTCAGTATGTCTGATATGTAAAGTATCTTACTTTCCATCACACATGCATGACTTTCTAGCCTTTCTACAAGAAATATACAATATTTTTAGTGTTATCAACTGAAAACACTAAAAATAATCTACTTTGGTGCAAATATAAAGTCGAAACACAATCTGTTCTACGAAGCGTTTGTATTCGATAATGACCATTATAGATTAGATTTCATGAGCAATTGTAAGTCACTAAGGGTGTTACAGCCACAGTAAAAAAATCGGCGTTTCCCCAGTTACGCTTAGCTTCGCTGAAAAAAGAATTGTTTGTACATGAAGAAAAGCTGCTGCTATGACAAGAAGAATGGTTTGAAATTTACGAGAGTTGAACATTCTAACCTAAATTTACTCACTTTATATTCAGCAAATACGTGACATATAAACTTCCCTCCTCCTTGACTCTCGACCAGCCCAAAATGTACCCTATCACTGTAAGAAAATTACTTATTTCTAGTTGGTCGAGAGAAGAACAATTATTTCATCAAAGCCAAGATCAAACGATGATGAGAGGACATGAAAGTTGGCGAGTCATGCTAACCTGGGGCAGGTTGTTCAAAGGTAGATTAGTGCTAACCCAGGGTTAAAATTTAACCCACTGTTTTAGTTTGCATATTTCTGCATGTCTATTTATTTCAAAATATCAGAAAAAAAACCTTCTATTGATCCAGACATGATTTGTGAAGAAATATTTCCAAATTTATAAACAGGCTGTTAGGAAGTTTGCTTTGAATTTTAAGTTATCCTAGAATTAAGCTAATCGGCTTTTGAACAGTGGTGTAACTTTTACTTTTTTGACCACTTGCCCTCAAGTTGGACATGAAAATTAGTTGCCCTGAATAAAATTCACTTGCCATCAGACAATGGCCACTGTGGTACTTACTACCTAGGTAGGTGGTATAAATTAACGGGACAACATGTCGACCCGTTCTCCCACAGCTCAGTATGGCTATGTTATACTACCTCAGATCACGGTTAATAGCTCAGATCTACCTTTGGTCCACAAAAAAACAAAATTTGAATCAAGTACATGCACCATGAAAAATTTATCAGGCAATGAAAACATAAACTTAAAGATGCCCAGCTTTTGTGGTTCATGAGTTTCACTTGCCCCTGGCAAGCGGGCAAGTGTTAAGTTACACCTCTGTTTTAAACAACCGGCCCCTGGTTAGTTGTTCCAACACTATCATGTATTTTACTTAAGTTACAACATAGTAGGAACACTCCTCAATCCTCTATTAAGTCTATTTTGTTAATCTAGAGGTTAATCCTAACTTTTCCCTAATCCAAACCCTTATTCTAACCATAAAAGTCTAAAACAGGAACTGTTCCTAAATCTTGACTCATATGGTATGAGTCTTAGCGTAAAAACCTTTGTGAAGCCCCCCCCCCCCACCCTCTCCCCCTCAAACAAGCCCATCTCCCTAATAAGGTCCCAGTTGAGAAGTAAAAATTTATTTAGTCGCCCCCACAACAAAGAAAGCTTGTACAATGATCGGATTTTTTAATTTTCCTAGTCATGGTTCATGTTGTTTAGTTGTTGTCATGCTTTTATTTTGCCATAATTTTTCTATTTAAATCATAATACACGTTGAAAAACCGTTAAAAATTTCAACAGTGTGTCAATAAAGTTCTGAAATCATAGTATACATGGAACCACAGAACCGCCTCTTGTTGGCTTAACCAATGAGCCCCCTCCTTAATATTAAGCTCCAACGTGCTTGGAATAAATTAAAGCTAGCACTTGATGATTTGGATTTGCGTTATGTTATTTTTGGTGACAAAAGATGCCAAGAACTATTCTCCCAGTACAATATTCTTCTGTTGACTGTTGTCATGGATGCACAGTAATTTTTAATTTCATAATACTTTCAAAACGACATTAACAATACATATTACTACGAAAACTTGGCTGGAACACCGCAATAATTTTTTACCGAGTATAGAGTTCGTTATTTACAGATATCAAACATGCCAGTTTACCAAACTTTTCGGCAACACTTAACGAAGAAAAAATGGCTTACCTAGCGAGTCCACAATATGATATTTTCTCTATTGGAATGAATATGTTTACGCGATGTACCACTTTTTATTGAATCATCCAAAGTGATAGAATGAGGAGAAATATTTATTGTACATATCTGAAACGTTGTTCCTTGAGCGACCTGTCGATAAACGGAAAGCAATGACAGGTTAGATCCACCGAGAATACTTTCGAGCTACAGTAGTTCAAAATATTGCTAATGAAACATACAAACAGGGAAAGAAAACCGCGTTACCGGCGGTTGAAGAAAGAAGAAGCCTGAACTGCTCTTGATGTACCATAATGGAAATTTGAGGAATGAAAGGTTAGGGGGAGGGGAGGGGGGGGGGTAGAAAATTAGTTCTATTGGTTACCAAAGTACGTATCTAATCATAGGCAGTCCAATAGCTAGGCGTGTTAAATATCCGACTACAATATTCAAACTTTTTTATATAATACCTTATTGAATTCTGATCGTTTAATTGGCCGTTTATGGTCACGTGATATTGAATAGAAAATTCCATTTCCCAAGAGTGCAATGGAATACGTTCCATTGCACTCATTGCGAGTGCAATTGTACTATACGTTTTATTCTATTGCACTCTTTGTGTTTGAAACATTCAGTTTCTGTTATATTTGTGTGTATTTATTTTGATATTAAATTGTGTTTTAATAAATTGTTCTTGAAAAAGCAATATTAGTCTATTTTGGTATTATATAAAACAAATAATGAATGTTTTTATTCGTGCAATGGTAAGAATATTTTCATTCGGTGAAAGATGGAATGTTCCATTCAACTCGGCTGTCGCCTCGTTCAATGGAACATTCCATCTTTCACCTCATGAAAATATTCTTACCATTGCACGAATAAAAACATTCATTATTTATATAATATTCAACTTCTGGTTGCGTGCTACGGGCGACGTCACTCATTGCATACTATTACGTTGTATTATTTGTATGCAGTGAGTGACGTCGTCCGTAGCACGCAACCAGAACTGCAGAAATGCATTGTTATCTAAACATTTTCGCAATATTAAACAGTTTTATTAAAGGTTTGAATATTTAGTCGAATGTTTAACACGCCTAGCTGTTGGGCTAGTTGTAGCTCTGATCTAATGTATTGAAGAAATTTTCCATTCCATAAAATAACCAGTATTGTTATATAGTTATGGTGAACACCAAGCGTGATTGGCTGATTTGTGCTCACGTGGTTTTAGATAAATGCAATGTACCCGCTGGGCAACAAGTGAATAATTGGAAGAGGTTATTTCGCTGGTCTCAAAGTAACGGTTTTACTAACACTAACTCTATTCCAAACACTAACTCTAACCCTAACCTTAATCCAAACCCAGTGCATTTTTAAAGGATTCTTCAGTGGTGGGGCAAAACTACCAAAGGGTAGTTCCCATTTTCCTTGTCCTCCTCCCAGGATAGTATGCGATCGCCGAAGGTGTGAGACGATTGCCGCAGGCACGAGTTAGCTAGGGGAGTCGGAGGGCATGCCTCCCAGGAAATTTTTAAAATTTGGGCCTCGGAAATAGCATTTCCTGCATTCTGAGAACACATATTAAAAAAAATCTTAGCTTCTCAAAACAAAGTTTTAATGGTGAAATTTGTAATAAATTGCACGCTAAACATTCAAATACAACATAAGTTTAACTATGCTCACCAACAAATTTTGTTTTTTAAACTTCTTTTCAATGTTAAACTCGTTTACTCAATGCAGGTCCTAGGGCCCTGGCTTTGGGGCAACAGGCCATTTTTTTTCTTCAGTGGTGGGACAAAGGAAGGGGCCAAGTGGGGGAAATGCCCCACCAGTCCATGATATTAAAAAATGCCTTGTCCAAACCCTAACCTAACCCTACTACAAGTTTGTTTCTAAACCAATCTTGAAGAAAAACGTTTTGACGAAACGTCATTAATCTGAGGTCAGCGAAATAACATTTCCATGAATAATCGTTGCCCGCCCCGACCGACCACGTACATAAATAAACAAAATGGCGGCACAACTCGTGAGTTTATAAACTACAATTTTCCAAGTTTGTGTTGACATAAAGAATGTAAAAGAGAAGAAACATGCACAGCAGACAACAGGATATGCTGCTGAAACCGTTTAAGTAGGTTCTTTTAATTTTAAACTCAAATACACTGTGCTCGAATACTCGTTTACTCTATAGAGTTTTCTGTCATGAAATACAATTGTTGTATGAATGTTGTTGATTTTTCTTTTGTTGGTGTATAGGAAAACACTTTATGTCTGTTCCATAACATTGAGACTCTCGGGAAAAACAAAACTATTTCCCTCTGGAGCAGACATTTAAAGTATATAATATTGACTCACCCCAACAGCCTCTCTTATAGCAGTTGGTCCAGTCCCGACAGAAACAGGTTGATGTCCGTAATATTTTATCAGTAATTCCGTAGATGAAGGTTGTTGTTCTTTTGAGCTTGATACATTCGGCTCCTATATACAGAAGTCAAAATACCTAGTTATTATCAAGAAAACATAAACGCATAAAATTACATGACATGGTGAATAAGTGCCTAATCGGCGCAAAGGTAACCTCAAATTCGTTCTTTTAGCCTGACGATACACTTCGAAAGGCATGCCGGAAATTAAATCTATTGAGCGTGTTGTGGGAAACATAAGTTAAAATGGATCGTTGTCGAATTCCCGACTGCAGTCTTTGTTTTTAATGTGCTATTCATACGCCACAACAATATACATAGTTATACAAAGTATGACATGTTAAGTAAAACATATTCAAACTGGTTGCAACTACATTACATACCGGGCTAGCTCTCCTAATTGGTACTCCAAGTTTTGCCTGATTAGCCAGCTTTCCAAGAAAACCTTTTATTCCAGCTCCAGACTGCAGAAGATTAAGAAAAGAATTTAAAACCAAAGTGAAATTCGGTGGTATTCAGGTTTAACAAACAAACAGACGGTTCTATTTCGATTTTCAAAAACAACGGTCACTCAGGCTATTTATGACAGTTATAATCCTAAATAAAAGCGGACGGCCGAGTTTATATCGTAGTCAATCATGAATGACGTCACAAAGGGGTCTTTATGCGCTATAACCCAGTCTAAATGATGGTGCTTATCCACCCTTGACTAAATCCATGGTATATTACGATTAGTTAATATTAGCTATATTCACACTTGACTATTGCCATACCACAGTATGGAAATGGCAATTAGCATGGAAATTGGCCATTTCCATATAATGACCCATACAAAGGATCCAGTGTGAATGCCATCATGTGGGGCTTCGGTGCCGCAGTCGTCAGAGCAAGCGCCTTTCACCTCTGAGGTCGTGGGTTCGATTTTCGCTACGGACTCATGTGAAAAGAGTCAGTTAACTCTGCCAAAAGTCGTGGGTTTTCTCCGGGTGCTCCGGTTTCCTCCCACAGGAAAAGTTGACAGGGTGGGTTAGGATAATCACATAGTTAAGAAAGTAATATCACAATGGACCATTTGCATTATAGACTACGTTTTGATCTAAACAAAAATTTCATCACAGCTTGAAAGAGCATCACAAAATTAGTAATATTCCAAAGTTTCGTTGCGAAATGTTGTAAAATACGGATAATATAGCCATGCGAAGTTTGCAATTTTCAGTCATTTGCATTACAAACGGGAAATTGATGCCCCAACACCCGATTGGGCTATCAATTTCCCCCTGCGTAATGCAAAATGACTGAAAAAAGGACAAATTTCGTATGGCTATATTATCCGCATTTTACAACATTTCGCAACGAAACTTTGGAATATTACTAATTTTGTGATGCTCTTTCAAGCTGTGATGAAATTTTTGTCTAGATCAAAATTTAGTCTATAATGCAAATGGTCCATTGTTGTAAAGATAAAATAATCAAGGCTAAGTATGTAACTAGGTAAGCGTATATAATACTTGATGTAAAGCGCATTTGATCATATCATGCGCATGCAAATTTGCGCTATAGAAATGCTAATCGTAATCGTAATCATGGAACAGAGGCAACAATACAGCCCTCCGGAAAGTACGTGACTTTGGCTATCGGACCTCATGCACGGTGAGACATTTGTAAAAGCCCAACGTCTCAATCACAAAGACCAGGCTCAATAGCTGACGTTCAGACGTACTTTTCCAAAGCGTGTATACTGAAATACGCACTCTATATTCGTTTCTTTATCACCACTTTTCTCTGCTTCTGTGGAAATGAACTTCTCAGCTAGTTCTGGATTCGTGTCTAAGCACGATTGTAAGCGCAACTGTAAGTAAATGTTGAAAATATCCAACTGATCAAATATGCAAATTAAAACATCATCTATATTGTAGTTAGAACGCAGTAGTGTCAAGTAACGAAGTTTATTATTAGCATGACAAAATTACTGGATGCTGATTGGTTGAGAGGAGTTCAATTATTTCATTAATTGTACTGCAGTGCAGTACAATTAATAATTTTCCCAAAACAAACAAAATGGCGGAAAGGTATTTTGAACACAAATGTGAAATGAAATTGCCCTAGAGGAACTAGATGAAAATACGAACAAAAGCACCAAATTTTGCTTTAACAAAAGAACTAAATGAAAATACGAACAAAAGTACCAAATTTTGGTTGAATGTTGGGCAGGACTGGGCTTTGGCGAAAGAATATGATCTTGACAGAGAAGTATCCAAATTTGTCATGCTAATAATAAACAAGTAATCATGCGATGTTGCTCGTACAATTAGGGATTAATAGTACTCGTGATGTTTGGAAATTTGCCAAATTGGACTCGCCCCGGCGGATCGTCCAATATTGGCAAAATTTCCAAACATCACTCGTACTATTAATCCCTAATTGTACTCGCCATCGCATGATTACCTATACAAATGTACTTCGTTACTGTACTTGAGTACTATTTTTGAGAAGTCAGCATGTAACAAAGTAAACTCTTTCTGCGGTACTTTTACTTGGAACGAAGTCGTTTTAAGAAGTAACGTTTTACTTCGTTATTTTCATTTTGTGGCGAAGTATTTCGTTACTTTCTCACATTTGTTTAATTTTACGTGATTTATTCCTGATTTATTTTAATTTTGGGATAGGTAGTAATAAAAATAGGACCTCTGCATATAAGCATTATTTATTTAATGGTTTCTTATATCTTCAACGGAGTCTGAAAAGTAGACCATGCCGTGAAATATTGTATATTATGGTGAACGAATATAATGCGTGAAACTGTGCTGTTATGTGTCTTTTGTATGCCAATCCATTGGAGAAGTCCTCCCCCCCAACCCCACCCCCCCACCCTACACGCTATAGACAATAGTACTTTTACTTTTACTTTGTACTTCAAGTATTTTTTAAGGATACTTTGTACTTTTTACTTAAGTACGTTTTGCCTCCAGTACTTTTTACTCTTACTCAAGTAGTTTTATTGTTAATTACTTCTACTGCATGACCCTAACCCTACACCTAACCGCTGCCCTAACTCATAAACAATGTCCGATACTTTTTTATCTAAAAGACGCTGGATTCTGAGCATACGACAATTGTTTGCAAGCGCCATTTTTTTTACCAGTCTACGAAAATAGGTTGTCACACCCATATAGTATTTTTTGGACGGTCAGTTTTGTTACACTGGCTAAAAGCCAGTTGTTTCCATGTATGATCACCGGTTTGACCTTTGAAGTTTATTTGTGGATCTAGTTCTTGTGTTCCTGTGACAACTACATTCGTGAACACATACGTAAAATTAAATTTGTTAAAAAGAAATTTATGCAGCCTGAGCATGAAATTCGTACAAAATGAAAGTGTGTCCACCAAAACCTCGAATTAAAAGTGGCCCTGCGATTCAAGCACACAGTAAAGCACAGTGTGCTTGAATGGCAGGGGCACTTTTAATTTGAGGTTTTGGTAAAACAAGAGTGATTAACGTCGTCATCAGTCAAGAGAGATTTATATAATGGTTTTAAAGGTATAATAAGGGGCAATGATATATGAATATAAAGTGTACTATATTGATGTACATTACCCTGCAAGCCTCTTCCAAAGCTTTTGTGAAACTGGCGGCGTTCGGTGTACATTGAAATACGTGACATAAGAATGGGGAACTTTCGTCGCCACTGCTTATATAGCCACAGAATCTAAAGAATGTGGAAATAGACCCCTTTAATAATGACGTCACATAATTACAGCTACCAGATTAGAGCACTTATTGAGTAATAACTTCAAAAACAGATATAATATGGTGTTTTAGGTACGAATGCCACAAGAAACGTTTAAAGAAATGTTTTTGCTTGTACATGCTAAGTTTCAACAGGAACTAACAAACTAAAAGGATAAAAACAGAATCTAGTTTTTCGCATCGAATTTGGAGGACAACTTTTCTTCTCTAAATAATTGGAGCTCAAAAACTAAATTTAGTTTGCTGATGCCAAATGTGTTTTTTTTTTCATTTCTGATGAAACTAAATTGGCATGCTCATTAAGCGTTCCTTGTGCATGGTTTGAGTGCAAATATTTGCTTGTAAAAGAAAGCTTGAGCATCAATAGACAACTTGCATGTTAGACTAATTTTTTATCTAGGCAAAAAAGTAAATTCCCGTAAAGAACTTTACATTAAAATTAGAAAAATTGAAAAATTGAAAAATTTGGTAAAATACGGAAAATATAGCCTTGTGAAGTTTGCATATGTTATATATGTTTGTATTACATGCGGAAATTGCTACAATTGGTAACAAAAATGGTAACAATTTCCGCACGTAATACAAACATACACAAAATTGGCAACCTTTGCAAGGTTACATTTTCCAAGCTTTATATCATCATTTCGCAACCAAATTCTGCAATCCTACTAATTTCATTATGTTCTTTTTGGTGTTTGAATTCCTTCTCTTTACTTAGATTAAAAATTAGTCTAACATGCAAGTTGCCATTAAAATTCCACCCGCTCACATGACCAGTCACGTATTTGCTGTTTACTCCAAGACGGTGCGAGGTTAAAACTGAATTTTTTTATATTTTCACTTAGAATACCATATCGTCTGATATAACTGTATATATATGACGTCATCATGAAAAGGGTCTGTAGAATTTGCACTACTTTGCGTTACTCTTTTTCACGCATATTTCTCCTAAGTGGTCGCAACTCTTCACTATTATTCAATTATAGTATAACATAATTGGACAAAAACTTCAAATATGATGTCGCTCCGATACGAATCCGGTATCGTGTAACTGGGGCCTAAATCAACCTTACCTTACGTGATACGAACGAAACGGGGAAGAGATAAAATTATGCCATGTACCTTACGTCTTTCGCAACTCCAATAAATGACACAAACTTGATTCTATTTTCTGTGATTACATGTTGAGACTACAAGAGAGAGAAAATCCTACATGAATATAACGTAATCTGAGGCCGGTTGTTCGAAAGTTAATCTGGGAAATTTTCAAAGCAAACTTCCTAACAGCCTGCTTGGAAACATGAAGATAGTTTTCCACAATTCATGCATATGTCTGGATCAATATATAAGTTCTATTTTCCTAAGTTTTGAAAAAAAAACCCCAGATTTGCAAATGTACTCAAACCAAAACAGCGGGTTATGTTTTAACCCAGTGTTAGCACTAATAACAGCTTTGAACAACTGGCCCCTAGAAGTCTATCTCAATGTGTCGAAACAAAGTTTTCTATTTAAAATTATGTTTATTTTACTTCTGTATTTATAGGTATGCCCTTACCAAGCAATCCGTGCAGCGGACACTCGATACAGTAATCTCAATCAAACATGTGCGCCACGTGTTAGGATCACGTGATGCTATTGCAACATCAATTGCTCTATGTACAACATCAATTCCTAAAAACACATACATAATATATATACAAGGGTAAGAACTTCACAGCTTGCCGACAAGATATGTTTGCAGAACAAGTTGTTATCATCTTGTAACAAGGTTGATGGGATCAACAGACTCGCAACAGGTTGTTAAACAACAACTTGCTACGAACAGCCTCTAGCCTGTATTAGTCTTGTTGGAACAACTCGTAGCGAGTCCGTTACCGTCATCAACCTTGTAACAAAGTTATCACAACTTGTTGCAGACTTGTCGCAAGAACCGGGAACAAGCAGTGCGAACACATCCTGATATCGGCTTGACAACAACCTTGTTACAACTTGTTTACTGATCTGTAACAACGTGGGCGTTTTTACGTGTGTAAATCAAGAATCAAGATGGACATAACATGTGCACACGTAAAAATCAGACCCGATAGATTTCTAAAAATACCTCGTCATGGTCCTGCAATTTAGCAACCTTTTAGCAAACCTTTGACAAGATTAGTACAAAATAAATGTTGAGAGGGAAATGGCCAAAAAACAACGTTGTTAGAGATTGTTCATAAGTTTGTTACAATTTACGCGGGTATAATGAAGAAGTTGTGGAAGTGGAGGTTCGCACATTAGAGCGTGACAGTTCGAAATACTGTATTTGTTTTCTCAACCTTGCACACCAGAAGCTTATTGCGAATTAAGAAAAGCAACATACAGTGTATCAGGGGCGGTGGGACCTCAAATAACGTGACTACTTGTACGGTTCCATAAAGTATCGTACGTATGACAGAGCAGAGACGTGGCTCCTTTAACATGCGTTTAGATAATGAAGTTTTGAGTTGCCTTCTCGTATAAATTGAGAGAATTGCAACGATTGAACAAATAAGGTATCAAGACAGGCCAGGTCTACGGGAGGGAGGGGGCCTATTTCTAAAAAATAGTTCAGAGATATACTTGGTGCTCAATATTTGGCTGACATAAATTCTTTAATCATTTCAGGCATTTAAATTAATCCAAAGTGTGTCAAAAAAATTGTGTTGAAAACGGCCTATCTTTGAATTGCCGCAAGTAGGCAGACAAACCTTTCCGGCTTTATCAGCCTTTTACAAGTCTCTGTCATGTTTCACTCTTTTCTTTTCATAATTTCATGTTTCACTTTTTTTTGTAACAGTAGTTTCCAAGCAGGGACGCCGGAATGATGTGAAGGCAAGGGGGGCAGATTTTCGTGAAAGGGCACTTTCGAATTGATATATACTAAGAGATGTTTGCGAAACATCGGGAGTTCAACTTCGCCTAATCATGTTTTCTATTGATTGGATGATAGGGGTGTGAGGGGTTCTCCGCCGGGCGATTGTGCTATTCTTGAAGCTCGATGACTGTATTTCTTGGGTTTTCTGAAGCAAATTCGTAAAAGAATTGCACTAACATTTCTGACAATTCGCTATTTCGCCAAGGCAATCCTTTAAATTGAAAGGGCACCTTTGCCCCCCTGGCCCCTCCTGGTAAAGGGCAACGGGGGCGGCTGCCCCTTCTGCTCCCTCCCCCACCAATTCCGGCGTCCCTGTTTGCAAGTTTCGTTTCCTATAGTAAACCCCTCTATATCAGAGAAGTAATTTGTAACAGTCCATAATTAGAGACAAAATAAACTTACCGGTCGGTCTCGGTACGTCCACCTTTCCAATAAATTTTCCTGAGAATCTTTTCTTCGATTCCGTTACTGGCTTCACGTTAAATCCAGCCTGGTCTAACGTAACGGGATAAAATGGCAAATGCTTAGAGAAAAATACTCCAATGCCTGGTCAAACGTATGAAGTTGTCCTTCATTATAGCATTGCAATAACGTGTCGTGTTTGTGTTCAATTTAAACACAAACAAGACATTCCAAAGCCTTTTCAATGTTGTTATACTTGCACTGCACACGGTAACAATTTCATCATAAAACGCTTTCGGAGTTACGACAATAACACCTGAGTGCACATTCTCTACTTTATGCAGCTAATCCAAGGTTATCCTCAAAATCGCAAAAGCTCGACCACTAAGCGCGAATATATTATTGATTATGAACAGGGGCATGCAAGGTCAGTGCTTCGCCATGACCTTATTCAGGTCAGTACTTCACCATAACCCTAGAGAGTTTAAGTTCGACTTCCAATACCAATACCAATACCGATACTAGCAACATGTCATGCGCATGCTCTCTGCTCACAAGAAGCACGAGTACAAGTGTATAGGAAGTCACCACTACCGAAGTCGGCCTTGTATTGGAAGTTGGGGGAATTGTAAGATAAACTCATATAAATCGGATATTTCATAATTTTTACGATAAACATGTAAACTATTTGTTTATTAGCATCGCCTGAGTCATGTTTTAGTCGGAATTTTAGCTCAGCTGGCTTTTAGTATACCGCATATTTTCGGTGACGATTAATGTCTCTATACTTTATCTGTCGTAATAACTTAACGCTTTAAAATTCCCGGTACCAAAATGAGAACGGAAGTGAAAACATCGGTATCGGTATTGGTATTGGAAGTCGAACTTAAACTCTCTCTTATTCAGGCCAGTGCATCACACCAATACACGCCTCCGGAAAGTACGTCACCTTGGCTACAGTATAGAGACTCGTTTTCGTGATGGAGACGTTAGCCCTTAACAACGAGACGGCGACGGCCAAACCAAACTCCTTCAAATAGATCGTAGTAAAGATAGTTCGTCGTGTATTATCAATCGTATGAATTTAATACAGTGTTAGAAGTTGAAGACATGGGTTTTATGGTGGGGAAGAGTTCTGCTAAACCCAGTTTGAAGTTGCACTTGTTGCGGCTTGGAATGCAGCCGTTGTATCAAGACGTGAAAATCTGTGATTTAGCGTTGTAAACAGAGCGAGGACAATGTCTAAATTATTCATATATTGTAATTACTCACTTCGTTTCAATGATCTGTTGTATTGGTAGCCGTTGCCGTCCTAAAATCGCAAGGTCTCTAATATCACGCACACGAAAACGAAGCTCTGTAGCCAAACTGGCATATTTTTGGGGAGGATGTATTAAACTAGTTGGTGGAAATTTACGCAAACCACAAAGACAAGCAAAAACCTTGCCCTTAAAATGTTTGCCTCGCAGACAACGATAACTGATGCCAAGAGCTCGAACAATTTCATGTTACATCACACCTCACGTGGCTGTTAGCCTTGGTTATTGCATAAATTAAACTGAAGGCTGGAAATTATTCACAGGTAGATGTATACTTGCCATGCAGAAAAATCGATTTCATACAGCACTTTGCAAATTAGTGCTGTATGGTAAAGAAGAATCTTTGAACATTTTTCACCGAGTGATGCAAATTTACCACACCTAGTCCTAGAGTCTGAGTACAGTCTCATGAGATTACACATCGTTTGAAGGCACGAGATTGCACGCAAGCTACCACACCTGAGGTTAGGGCCTACATTAATTGGCGAATTAATGTTAGTATTAGTAATTGGGAAAAAGAGCTGTCGTTTCAAAACTCATTTCGGACTGCATTGGAAATCCGATTCAGGATATAGTCTCAAGCTTCAGCATCAAGGAATATACCTAACCAACTAACATTTGTTTTGCCCGTTGTCATCCAATGCACTCACATATACTGTATAATTCATAAATGCTTGGTAACCCTCTCTCCTCCGAGAGGCTTACATGAAGTTTCTAATGAGGAAAAATGGAGTGGTGGGAATAGCAATGACTCTTCCCATCACTCCCCGTGCGCTCACATTTATTCATGAAACTTCATGTAGGTTATTTGTAAATACTTAATTAAGGAGGCTTTGCGGAGGAGAGCTTGGTAACCTTTGTTGCTATGATAGACCCTGGTCTATCATAGCAACAAGGTTACCAAGCTCTCCTCCGCAGGGCCTCCTTAATTTTACACCAGTTAGGGTGTAAAACCATGGTTATCTCTAACCGACGGATGCCTACCAACATTTGTTCCATTCTACGATTACGTCATTAGAACAGTGCCTCCTAGGCTCGAGTTGTCCCAAATTGTTATTGCGTAACAACGGGTTTAACCAACTGATTGATCAGATTTTAAATCTGATTCAGTCGTGAAATAGGACTCCAAATTGAGAACAACAGAAACGCTGGAACAATGTAAGGCAGGTGAGGCAGTAGCGACAAACCACTGGGTGAAAAAATTGTTCAGTTCATCCTTGAGCATGCAGACTAACTAGTAACCACATTAAAAACGAACAAAGACGCTGCAGAGATGCAGTCAGTGGCGAAGCCAGTCATGGCAACTGGCCGGTCAGGCTAAGCTAATAATCCTGCATCCAAATAGGTTAAAGACAATACATTTCTGAAGGTTATTAAGAATTTGCATAGCATGACCCGTTGCTATGGCTAGCTTCGCCACTGGATGCAGTCATATATATACACTATGAACTTTTAAATTTTTTTTTATTTTAAATCATACATTTCCATATTCATGTATATAAAAATCGTTACACGATTGACAAATTACTTATGAAATTCACTTGAAATGAAGGATTAACCAAGGTTTGTACCGCAGTGTGAAATTGCAAATTACTGTATATGTCACGATCATAGAAACTATAGTTTAGTTTCACAATGCTGTACATCCTTGAGATAAATGAACATTTTGTTGTATTGCACCTTTTGTTTAAATAAATGTCATGACAACCATGTTGTTAGTAGTAAGTACATAACGAATATAAAATATAGCTAATATAATGATTTTAGTCCTGACAATATTATTGCCTGACATGCATTGAGATAACTCAAATGAGACTCGTATATGTTTTTTAATAGGAATGGATTTTGAGTCCAGGGTTTCCACCCTTTAAATTAATGAATATAAAATTCGAGGACTTTTCCAGGAAGTTCAAAGACGTTTTTTTCAGTAAATTCAAGGACCTAAAACTGGAAAAATCGTTGAAAATTATGTGGATTTTGCTTTTTGAAACACTACTGTTTATTCAAAATCAAAATTATAAATAACATTAAAGTATTATCTGCACATCTAGAAAGAAATTCCAGGACTTTCAAGGACCTGCACTAATTTTCAAGGACTATCCAGGCCTGGATTTATTTTTTTCAAATTCAAGGATTTTCCAGGATTTGTGGACATCCTGTTTCATATATAGTCTCAAAAAAGTGCATGATATAGTCTCAAAAAAGTGCTTAGAGAACGGTCATTATTTATGAGGGGTGGGGATGGAACCGAAGAGAAAAGGGTTGGGTAAACAAAATTTTGAGTGAGTAAAAGGTTGGGTGAATGAAAAACAAAACAACTCAAGGTTTGGGTAATAAAAATTTATTGTCATTTCCAAAGCATGACTCACTCAAATATTGAAGACTAAAAAGCAATGTCAACAGTCATTTCTCGATACAATACGTAAATCAATCAGAGTCACTATCTTGATAATTTTCCGATTTGCCAGGAGGCAAATGGTGTTTCCGACGAAAGTACATGTGCAGACAGCATGACACTTTAGACTGCAGAAAATTGCACAAGCAGTAATTAAACTCATGGCACAGAAGTAGTAAAGGACATGTGCGACAACTGAATGGTATCCTTTTGGTTTTTCCCCAGGGGTGGGTATTTTTAATTGACATTTGAGGGTTTTTTGACCTTTTAATGGTTGGATAAGCAAAATTCTTAGCAAGAAAAACATTTCTCTTCGGTGTCACCCCCAGCCAGAAATAATGACCTGTCCCTTATCCGAATTTTTTTAACAGAATGCATGAGTTTGGTAGACTCGACATTTGACAAGAGGGTTTTATCTTCACACGCATAAATAAAAAATGAAAGGACAGGCCCCTTAGTGTTTCGAGCAAAGTAATTTAGGTTATAGTACAAAATAAACGTAAATAAAAAATTCAAAAATATTAAATAAAATATAGTCTAAGGTATAAAATACTTATCAAACGTTTTCATATAAACTACTATGTTATCCAAAAAATACTATTTGCAAATCTTCAAAATTATTTAGCGTCCAGCTAATTATAAAAAGTACAGCCCAGTCCCTTTCGTTCCGAAGCAAGCAAGCTAGTAAGTGAACAACACGTGTGCTAGCAGAAGAGCAAATCGTTTTACTAAACGAAGCTGTGGTTCTGTCATACACGAAGAATGCCAAGTTTTGTTTTGTTTAACAGTGTGCAAAGGTTTTCTTAAAACTATTTCTAATGAATAAAATTCTAAAAGCTTGTAAATACCGTTTTGTTTACAACAATAGACCTTTACCCTTATGAGTGAAATTTTGATCTAGCTATGCCTGCCCAGCGAAGTTTGCGGTTTTTCAGTCATTTTGCATTACAAACGGGAAATTGATAATCAGATGATCAAACTGATTATCAATTTCCCACTTGTAATACAAAATGACTGAAAATTGCAAACTTCGCAAGGCTATATTATCCGCATTTTACAACATTTCGCAACGAAACTTCGGAATATTACTAATTTTGTGATGCTCTTTCAAGCTGTGATGAAATATTTGTCCAGACTTGTCTAGATCAAAATTTCATTCAAAAGGGGAAAGATCTATTACGGGAGCTAATAAGTTCTTTGTAGAGGTTTGCATGGCGATAAAACATATAATACTTTTTGTTTGTGGAAACACCACGTAAATTTATTACTGCAAAGCTTTCAAAGATCCGTAACCCGGATGAAGATCCGGGCTTACGGATCGAAAGCTTTGCAGTAATAAATTTACGTGGTATTTCCAGAAACAAAAAGTATTATAATTACGGGAGCTGTAATACAAATTATTTTCAAATAATTTCGTTGTTTTTTGAACACTTTTGTTTGTTATGGTATATGCTAAGACAATTTTGCATCTCGATGAACATCGTTGAGCCATTCACCTCCACTTTGGTGAATGATTGTTAATTATTAGATAAAGCTAGTAACGGCGAAGAGAATGCCTGGGACTAGGCTGTAATTACAGTATATATATATTAGTATAAATTGATCGTGGAAATATTTCAAACGGTGTCTGCCTCCCTGCCTTTCAATGTTCCATCGTCCCTGCAATCAATTTGTTTCTGAATCAGGAAAACGGCGACCATTTTCGTCCTAAAAAGTGTTAAAATGTGATCTCCACTTGTAAAATTAATTGGCATCGTTTGGTAATATGCAGTTCAAGGATACAGAAATACGGCTGACATATGCAGTTTGCTCGTGATTGTTAAGACAATTATACATGTTGCATCGAGTGGTGGTAGCCTACATCATGTTCTTCGCTTTATGCTGTCTCAAAGTACAAAGCCTCATGCGAGCAGGGGTCGAAATTTACGCTATACCGTATAATAGCAAAATGCATGCGTGAGGGTATTCCGTTTGTATAGTAGAATATTGTAGCATTTAGTAAATTTTTAGATTTCGAGTTTTTGTTATTGCATGGCAAACGAAACTGGCGCCATATCCTGCATGTGTCGTCAAAACAACTTTAGTTAGAGTAATAGAGCTGTGTGCAAGTATTCGATAGATTCTTCGTGCATAATAAGACCTGCTATGTTTGTTTGTTGATCTTCAGTTTCCCTTAAGATCCCTGTCTTTTCAGGCTTACGTCATAATTGTCAGAGACATTAGCATGTGAACAGAGAGAGATAAGGCATAATGAAACTTCAGACGGAATAGCAAATTTGATAATCTGTATAATCATGGTTGTATAGCAGGAACAAATGTAAATTTCGACCCCTGATGAGTGAAACTGAATCTGTCCTGATGTGCTCTCCGACAAGAAGGCAGCGGTGGACACTAAGGTGTGGGTGGGGTGGGGAGATCGCTAAATACCTGTGTAGCAAAGGTGTATTAATTTTTCAACAATTTTTCAAAGCATTGTGAGGCCATAAATGAAGCTATAATGCATTAAGTTTAAGGCAACAAAGTTTAAAGGAATAAGATTTCCAACTACAAAAGGTAACCCATATGTTGGCAACCTAATCCACCCTATTTCGTGAAGTGTCCGCTATTAGTGCTAGCAAGGTACTCGGCAGTAATATAAGGGGAAAGTTTTCTGAGTGCTACATGTATACTTCAATGGACTTTATAGACTATATACAGTTATACTCTACACCGACCCATTGAGAGCTAGTCATTGACTTTGTACTGTTTTACATGCGTTTTACAAATGTTCGTAGAGAAATATCATCAGCCTTGAGAACAGCAGGAGAAATATATTGAAGCACTGATTGAAAGTACTCTTAATACGTGTTGTTACCAAGGCAGCGCTTAAAACAGTGTTTCTATTTGGGCGGAAACTAAGACAACCAATAGCCTTGCATGGAAATTTCCTAATTCGAAAATATAAAGAATTTTGAGATTTTCAGAGATTGTTAGAAATTTTTACACACTTTTAGGAATTTGAAGATTTTGAAATCTTTTGGATAGTGCAAATATACCGGGATGTATAAATTCACAGGGTACAGTATATCACTAAAGCACCGATATCGACATGCACCTTTTCATATCCATACCTTTTGCGGACGGTTTAGGTGGAGTATTCAAAATATCTGACCATTGTTTTGTCGAGTCATTTTGCTGATTCTCTCGAGCTCTTCTTTTCTCTTCCAGTATCCTGTTGCACATTTCATGTAGTTTGTTATGGATTGCTCGTCCCGATATGTTCCCATGGCAACGGAACACGTGACATTTATGCTTGCCAGTAACTTGGTCTCTTGCTACATACGCAAAGTCTCTGTAAATGAGATGAGGGATTTACTTTTGGCTTGGTATCAGGTGTTCATGAACCGAGCCGAGCAGAATTGAAATGAACAAAATTTAAAGTGCCAGTAACACCAAATAGGTTTATTGGTTTGGATAACATTCGAATCATTCTGCGAAGAAATGCAATACATCTTTATAGTGAAAAACCTCAAAATGATCAACTTTTTCACGGATATGATGTCATTAGATCAAGTTTTGGAGCAAAAAAAACGAAGAAAAACTACTTTGCAATCCATCTAATGGTACCCTATCTGGAAACTGCTGTTGTGAAATGGTTGTTTGAAATGAGGTTTTTACTATAAAAATACTGTATAACATTTCTTCTTGGAACCAAAGATTACAACTGATACCAAAATCCGTATTTGGTATTATTTGGACTATAAACCACATGTACAGCTCATAGAACTGTTATTACCCACTTCTAACTTCGGAACTCTTGATATTTGAGTTCATTGAACGAATTTACTCGTTGAACGAATTTACTCGTGTTTTGAAACCCTGAAAGCAACACAACACAACACAACACAACACAACACAACACAACACAACACAACACAACACCGTACGTTTTTAACACATATTTAACTTACTTCTGTTCTTCTCTTCCAGCTCCCCAAACGCGCATTTTCGAAATAGGTTGTACCAAGAGAGTTGCCTTAGTTTGACAGTCGACCAATTTCAAATTGTCAGTCTCCAGAAGCAAACGTAAATCTTTACCCTAAAAAGCAGCCAATTGAATTACGATTCTCGTTGCAATGTAGTCTAATTGCAGCTTTTCTCTCTTCGTTGTTCCTACCAACCTCGTACCAGGGCTTCGGAGTACGAGGTTGTGTTCCTATACAATAATAGCGACCTGAAGCATGTAGGATGGGAACGTGACGGCGACTGCAAACACACTCGTTGAACCAAATCATTGTCGAAGAAAACTTGTCGTCTATTCATTTCTGCTCATTTTCTTGTTTTAATGATGTTATTAACCGTCCTCATTGCACTTTCGTCCGGCTTGTTAATCTGTTAATTAACCTACTCTTATAATTAGTTCTTTATAATTTAGAAAGTGTAAAATTCAAGGCTGTTTCTTGTCAAGTCCCCGTACTAGATTAAGTCTTGCTTAAGTTCGCTATTATGTTCCTGTAAGCACCTTGAGCAGTGACGACACGCTACATGCTAGCTTCAGAACGACAGAGACTAGGCTATAGTTGCTATGCATACAAAAGTACATAAACAGGATACTCGGATGCTGTTAACATTTATATTAATCACTTGTCAATTTATGAGTTCCGCTAGACTTGCTCCAAGTGTGCCTCTCAAAGGGGTATTATTCGGGATTTATAAAGGTGTGCTCCCGCCCACATTTTCAAGCATCCGACTCCATCCGCTTGTCGAGTCATTTAGTGTGCGGTACAAGTTGAAATAAACTTGAATGCTGGGCGTGCCAGTGTAAGCAGCGAATAATACAATAGATCTTTCCCCTTTTGAGTGAAATTTTGATCTTGACAAGTCCGGACAAAAATTTCATCACAGCTTGAAAGAGCATCACAAAATTAGTAATATTCCGAAGTTTCGTTGCGAAATGTTGTAAAATGCGGATAATATAGCCTTGCGAAGTTTGCCGTTTTTCAGTCATTTTGATTACAAATGGGAAATTGATAATCAGTTTGATCATCTGATTATCAATTTCCCGTTTGTAATGCAAAATGACTGAAAACGGAGACTAGATTTTGAAAATCCGAATTTTGAATGTCTTTGGTTATGGATCCGCCCGACACGACTGCCAAGACCTCTCTCGGCTATTGCAGTTTGCGTTGTGTATAACCCCCCTGGCAGAACTGCTGAAGAACAACGTGATCTTGATGAATATCTGATAAACACAACGGATTCCATTAGGAATTGTTATCCTAATTGTAGAATCGTATTCCTTGGTGATTTTAATAATTTTGATGTTTCGAACCTAACCCGTAGTCTTAGTTTGAAGCAAGTCGTTTCTGCTCCTACAAGGGGGTCATCTACCCTTGATCTCATCGTCACCGATTTACAAGATTTTTATGACAAGCCGCATATTCTTGCTCCGCTTGGGTCTGCTGACCATAATATAGTACGATGGGTTCCTAATAAAGTTGATGCTATTACCAAACCTAAACCGATTAAGCGTCTTATACGCCGCTATCCGCTATCCGCTATCCGCCTTGAATTCTTTCGGCCGATGGGCCAGCACGCATCAATGGTTCAGTAATCTGGGTCCAAGCCCTTCCGTAGATGACCTAGCTAATTCCTTCTCATCCCAAGTATCTACAGCATTTGACAGTCTTATTCCCCTGAAATCTGTTAGGTTTTGCCATTCCGATAAACCATGGATGTCTGTGTCTATCAAAAAACTCATTAATGACCGTCAAAGAGCTTTCCATGGTGGAGATGTTCTGCAGTGGAGAACTTTGAAATATAAGGTCCAGACCGAAATAGCCGTAAGAAAGAAAGAATATTACAAAACAAAAGTACAACATCTTAAGAAAGACGATTGCCGAAAGTGGTGGCAAGTCGTAAATAAGTTGTCTGGCCGATCTCAGAAGTGTACTAAACTTACCTTTGAAAAGGAAGGTGAATTATTATCAGATTTAGAACTGGCCAATAACTTGAACAAGTGTTACATCTCGGTTAACGCAGACATTCCACCACTAGATATAACCACGTTACCAGCATACTTACCTGCTGTTGATCAAGTGCCTTACATCGAACCGCACGAAGTCTGTGAGAAATTATTGGTCGTTAATGTCTCCAAAACATGTGGTCCTGTTAATATTCCAGGTCGCCTTTTGAAGGAATTTGCGCACCTTTTCGCTGAACCAGTTGCGAAAATCTTCAATATGTCACTTGCATCCGGGATTGTTCCAAATATATGGAAAGACTCACATATTACTCCCATTCCAAAAGTTAAACAACCAACTGACGAGGGCGACACAAGACCCATTTCACTAACGCCATGCCTTTCTAAAGTTCTCGAAGATTTTGTCGTTAGATGGATGATCTCTGACGTTAGGAATAATATTGACGCACAACAGTTCGGTTCTTTAAAGGGTTCATCCACGACCTATTGTTTGCTCGACATGTTGCATTGTTGGCTTTCTCATTTGGATTCAACTGGTCATTTTCTTCGCATATGCTTTTTGGATTTTTCAAAGGCCTTCGA